AAGCAATAAACCTGAACCCAATTCCATGTAAATAAATCTGTGTCCGCAAAACAAATAATCACTCCATGACTTGACAGTGAGGAACACATTGTTTCCAGAAACACAAATCTTTATTTTCAGTATGACATTAAATGCAAGCCAGTAGGCCAAAATTATTTTTCTTTAAGAAACTTCAGTCAACCATATTATCAGAAGACTGCCATGAGAAAGAAAGTTTTTTCTTACTCTATTCTTTTCTAGAGCTTCGAAGCAACATCAATTTAACAAGTCAAACATACAAAAATATCAGCATGCATAACAGCCCATTTGTTTCAAGAAACAATCCAGGGGGCGTAATGGGGAATGCAAATAAGCTGCTGCAAAGTCCAGAGTTCTGCAGAGTCTGGGAAAAAATAAATGTCAAAAAGAGAAAGACAGAATCATTTTATAAATTATAATAAATTAAGACAAACTTGATGTAAAGACATTTAAAGTTCATGGTGAAGGCGTTGACTGTTCGGCAGGCTCTCCTCTGTGCAGTCAGTGATGCGTTTCCAGTTCCACGATGGTCCACTCTCCTTGTGGAGATGCAGCGTCTTCTGGGGAGAAGCTGGTCACTGTGATGCTGGTGGAGGAGTCCTCCATGGGAGAGATGAGTTCCGCCCAACGTTTGAAGGTCTCCTTCTCTGGGGACAGGAAGGTCTGCGAGTCCAGGCAGTCACGTGAAAGGGACAGTGTCTGCTTGATAAGGTACTGGGCTAGGTTGAGCTCCTCAGGCACAGGGTTTATTATGCCCAGATTGGACTCGTGGTCTGAGAGAAGTTGCCGGAGCAGGCTCCAGTCCCGCTCTGCAAACTCGCTGCTTTTGTCATCGTCCCCTCTTTGCTTTTCCTTCTCTGCCTTCAGTTTAACATTCCTGTCCTTGTCCGAGCAGTGCTCAAAGGCGTCTCCCACATCCATCTCGTAAATGGGAGAGAGGGCTTTGGATGGTCGGCGGTCATGTTTGCAGGTTTGATCCAATCTGTCACAACCATTGTCCCCTAAAAACAATTGACAATACTGCAAAATGACAAACTGGTATACTCCTCCACAGTTGTTTTTTCATTTCAGAGACTAGTCACTGCCTACTACAATAAAACACTGATTACTGAAAGTTTACGCTTAATGCAACTGCGACCTTTAAAAGATATTCCATAGTGAAGTTAGGTGAGGACAGCACAGTGCGGAAAGCAGTGACAGTGATTGATGAGTCACATTATGGTCAGCTAGATGGCAATACCATTATCAGTACCAATTTTAAATGAATTAGTTAACAATTCACCAAGTACTTCAAAAATGGATGACAAGGGCACAGTTGCCTTAAAGGTAATGCACAGAGGAATGCTTTTCTGAATGCATCTCTTTATCCACCTGTTCAAACAAAGTAAGCCATGCATTGCCAGCACGAGTGAACGTTGCATTTGTCAGTAACAGTGATGTGTTTTGAGATTTACGTGCAGGTCTTTGAACGGGCAGACCTAACGAACATACTTAAATACTGTCACAAAAACGTAAAACGCAAGCAACAGTGCTTTAACCTAGTAGCACAAAAGATGAAACACCACCAAGTTTCTTTTGACATTCTTTGTGTTTTCTGTTTTTAACAATTTCAAAAAGGCAAACGATGAAGTAGCTGATCGCTGTTTGATATTGACAACAAAATAATTGACATGTTTGCATCGGGACAGACCCTCAGTAATGGTGCAGTGGGATTTCTTTTTCTGAATATGATAGTGAAAAAAGAGAGACATGGCAGAACCAATGACAGCTGCTCTAGATACACATCACATACTTTACAGAGGATGCTACTGACACTACACAAACCTACTGAACAAAAGCTTATAGACAACAGAACACAGTTTTCTTAAAAAGTCTATGTATCTAGACACAAGTCTACTGGGTATGACAAAAGGTAATGGATAATAAAAAAAACAAACACAAAAATGATGGATGGTATAGGGGAATGACAAATTAATTTATAGTGGCATGCATGTGTGCAGTGCAAAAATAAAAAATAACAAACAAAACAACTCAGGAACAGGTACATTCTCCAATAAAAATAAACAGCAAGGAGATGCAAGGGAAAAGTTTCCCAGTATAACACACTTTTCTGAGAAGCAGTGGCTTCACTCTACAGAAATTTGACAAAAAGCATTACTTGCTTGTAATTTACCTGAACACAAATTTTAAAGGTGCTATATATGGTAGTTTAACATCAACACATCTTTTAAATTAATTTTGAGATGTTAGTAAAATTACTGGAAACAAAAAGACCATCACTGAGAAGTCAAGCGTCTAGTGACGCTGCACTGCAGCTGATGTAGTGTAGCACAGGGTGCAGGTTTGTGTTTCTTAAAGTGGCAAAAGTGTAATAAATGAAAAGCCAAACATATTTATCCTTTACAATCAAGCTAAAGAAAACGCAAGGAAGAAAGAAGAGAGCTACTGTAGCAACATCTTGTGAGACAAGAAGCAATGTGTTTTATAGGTAGTGTAGTCTAAATATTAATTTTATCAATATCAGTGTAAGTAGCATGGCATAACATTATCTCAACAGTGGTCTAACCATAATAGTAATTATACCAATAAGCCACTATTAATTTGGCAACGATATATTGATGTTAAAATGCTATATATAGCACCTCGGAATATGTCAAATTATCTATGGCTTAAAAAGGCCAACGACTGTTCCACTGCATAAAAGAAATGACAAAAATAATCAAAAAATCTTATTTTTATGTACATAAAAGTGCATTGGTATACTTATGTCACAAGCCTTGTCACAAGGCAGATTCTTTTTGACAAATACAATTCTATAATCAGTTTTCCCCTTTTTTGTGTAAACTGAGTTACCAAGGCCTAAATGCCTCTGACTAAAGGTAGTTCAGTTGTTTAAAATGTACAGTTTATTTGTTATTATGAGACCAATCTCCATCTTTAAAAGGATATTGATGTTGCAAATTCAAATTTACAACAGCTACACAATCAATGGGTTGGAATGAGAGGAAGCTTTTGGCTATGAAAATATGATGACCACTGATTACATTTGAATTTGAACTTTATTTATAACTAGTTGCTAAACTAGTATGCTCAATGATATCCTTTTTCTAAAAGAGGGATAGGTGTTTGTTGGATGTAGGTAAGGTCTAGGAATCAGAGCAGAGGAGAATGAATCTTGCAGGGATAAAGTAAACCTTCACTGATGGAGTTTAGGGACAAGAGATGGGTTCAGATTTGGGGTCTAGGGAGGGTCCGTAGATCATACATTACCTGCTGGAGATTGTGCAGCATGTACAGGAGACTCCCCTGTCAGCTGAGGCTCATTTAAGTCTAGATGTAAATCAGCTTTCTTGCTTTCTGAGGGATTGGTGTGATTTTTGCGCAGCCCTCCGTTGTATTGTTCAGTGTGCCGCAGATCCAGGTGGCATGGGCGCTCCTGGGGAGGGAGGTCTCTATTGTCAGCGTCCAGGAGAGGCCCGCTGGACTTCACTCCATCCACCTGGATGTGATTACTTTCCTCCTGCACGGGCTCCTGGATCTCTGTAAGGAATATGGAGGATTTTTCTTCTTCTTCTTCTTCTTCTTCTTCTTCTTCTTCTTCCTCGTCATGTTGTTTGTGGTTCATACCTGCGTTTTCAAGATGGCACGGCAGGTGGTTCTGTTGGTCGCCAGTAACTGTAGAGTCAGACTCGAAAACATCACAGGGAGTCACAGCGTCGTCATGCTGCTGAGGTGGAGTTTGGACGCCGCCCTCTTCTGAGCCCAGCTCCTCACACTCGTCAACAGAAAGCAACACCGAGCGACGGAAGTTAGAAGACGACTGGTAGTCGGGCTGGTCGTTCTCCTGGTCCACGCCTTCGTCGTCGAAAGCTAGGTTGACAATCCCCTGAAAGTGTGGCGAGGGTTCAGTTGGTGGCAGTGGAGCCTGACCTGGAATCACCTCAACTTCAGACCTCTCATCCTCTGTTGCCTCCTCATCTTCGTCTTCGTCTTCCTCCTCTGAGGAGAAGAGCTGGTGGTCGGGGACGCTTTTTACAGTCACTGTGGCTTCAACCTCCGAGTGCTCCTCCTCTACAGGAACCTCATCTCTTTGCAACCAGGAACGAGGACGCTGTCTTACTCCCTCCTCCTCGCTGGTGGTCTCTGTTTCTCGCCCGCGTAGCCGCACCTCCACTCTCAACCCCGCCCCACCTTCGTACATCTTTAACTCCTCTGGGGTGCTTGTGTCACTACTACTACGACCCAAGAAGTCATGACAGCGCATGGTGCCACACTTGGAAACGCCTCTGTCGTTGGAGCAGTCGTCATCTTGCGAGCCTCCTGCATCATAGTCCTCTGAGCGGGGCTTGATGTCGTCAGAGGAAGTGGTGTGTGTGCTGCCAGTCTCAGACTCTGGGCTGACCTGATGGTGGATGCCGCTCCAGGAGTCCTCTAAGGGAGTGTCAGTGCTACCCATGCTACAGGGGGTATCTACGGGGCGGTCAGTGTCTCTTGGAGAATTCAGGGAGCTGACCTCATGAACTTGCCCTCCGCCGATGTGAGCGGGGATGACACCGCTTGAAGACTGTTTGCAAGTGCCTCTATTAGCAGATTTGATATGAGGGATGTTGTTAGTTGCTGGTGTGACACTGGTCTCATTTGAACCATTTGCTGACTGTATTTCTGTCTTCTGGAGCCTCTGCTTAGGGCTTGATTCTAGGCTAAGTGAATCTCCTCCGCCTTGGCTTGTTGGCTGTGTGTGTGCTGCAGGCTGGTCAGAGTGTGCTCCCTCTGTACTATCTTTATGAACTGCAACACCACCAGTGTTTTCAGTTGGAGCAAGCTCAGTTTTACAACCCACTGCCTCTTTTCCTTTAGTTCCTGACTTCTTGGAGGCAGCAGCAGCAGCTGAGGTTTTAGAAGTGCCTCCAGATTTTATAGAAGCTTTCTCCATAGGTAATTCAGTAGTACTCTTTGGCTTTGGTCCAGACTTGGCAGCTACT